GAGGGCCCGAAGACAGGCCCAAGAGGGGGCCAAGAGGGGGACCACGGACCGAAAATCCGAGCCTTCCGCCCCAAGAGGGCGCCAGGAGGCCCAAACAGGCCCCCAAGAGGCCCCAAGGGGCCGCCAAGAATCCCCCGAAGAGGCCCCAGGAGGCTCCCAAGGAGCCCAAACGAGGCCCCTACAGAGGCCCCAACAGCTTCCAAAATGGCCCCGAAGAGGCCTCGAGCCCGCCTCCGAGCTTCCTCGCCGCGAGGGTGCCAACACGGCCCCAGACCGGCCCAGGACGGCCCAAGGCGCGCTCAAGACGGCCCAAGACGATTCCAAGACGGTCCCAGGAGGGTGCGCCCAGGACGGCCCAAGGACGCGCCCGTTCGGGGCCTCAAGACGGGCCAAGATGGCAAGAGAGTCCCAGCTGGCAAAAATCGTTAATTTTCCATTGTTTACTGTTACACCCTTTGCGTTTCCCGCCGTTTCGGCGGTCCGATGCACCAAGAGGCCCCAGAAAGTCCCAGGAGGGTCCGAGGAACCGCCCAGGAAGGCCCCAAGACGGGCCAAGACGGACCCAGCACAACCCAAGGCGCGCTGCGACGGCTCAAGACGGCTCCAAGACAGCCCCAAGAGGGTGCCAACACGGCCCCTGCTGGGCCCAGGACGGCCCAAGGAGGCGCACAGGAGGGGCCCAAGACGACTCCAAGGCGGCCTCCTCACGGTCCCAGACGGCTCCAAGACAGCCCCACGAGGACCCCGATGGGCCCAGGACGGCCTACGGACGCGCCCATGAGGGGCCCACGACGAACCAAGACGGCCCCATCAGGGCAAACGGCGCCCTCAAGACGGGCCTAGACGGCTCCAAGACGGCCCTTTGAGGGAGCCAACGCGGCCCCACACCCTTCGGGCGCACACTTGGGGGGGCTGGGAGCTTGCGACAAGTCTCCCACATTCATTGTCCTGCCCCATTCTGTTCGCCTGGAGGCCTCCTCCAACCCTGTGGGCGAACAAGAGGAATCCCAGCGGGACGCCAACCCTGGGGCCCGTGGGCCCCGCGCCGCTTGGGCAGAAGACGAACGCCGGGTCTGACAGGCCAGCTACCGCCCCCCTTTGCCCGATATGCTGTGCCATTCTGTTCCCCCAGGGGCCTTGGCAAACTCTTCGGGCCAAGCAGACCGGACCCCTGGGACAGCAGCCAATTGATATGACCCTGGGACCTCTCCGCATTCTTCGGACGAGCATCTGGGGGGCCCAGGAGATTCGGACATGTCTTCCCCATTCCTTGCCCTGTCCCGTTCTGTTCGCCCGAAGGCCTCCACAGACCCACTGGGCGAACAGAATGGGACATGGCGAACAAACCCTCCCGTTGGCGGTGATGCGACTGGATCGCACCATCAAGGCGCGCCCGGAGGTGATGGCCGACCCAACAGCGGTTTCTCTTAAGAGTTCACTGGATTTCAAATTTTCTTGAAGCTCTCTTGGGCCCTCCCTGTAGATCCTTGCGAGCCTCCCCGGCGCTTTCGGTGGCTTTCCCCGATGGCCTCCCGAGCCCTTCCCCGAGCGCTCCTGAGACGCCTCAGATGGGCTTCGACTTCGACGCACATCCCCGAGAGACTTCGAAACTGTCCTCAATAGGAGGGGGGTGAACGAGCAGTGCGCTGGGCCAAGCTGCTGCAGCGCTGCAAGAGCTCGGACACGAAGGCGCGGTCTCGCTGCCGCCGCCCGAGCCGCCGCCGTGTTTGTAGATTTTCGGTACAATCTGCGCCGTTCCTCCGAGAACCATTCCAGAAAGATGTCGTGGACGGAGTCCACGGGTCAGCCCTAGTCAGCTACAACGCTGGGATCAGCGCGTGCGAGAAGGGCGAGCAGTGGCAGCAAGCTCTGGCGCTGCTCAGCGATATGCGGGAGGTGAAGCTGGAGCCCAACGTCATCAGCTACAGCGCTGGGATCAGCGCGTGCGAGAAGCACGGGCAGTGGCAGCCGTCTTTGGTTCTACTCAGCGAGATGCGGGAGGCCGAGCTGGAGCCCGACGTCATCATCTACAACGCTGCAGTCAGCACGCTCGAGAAGGGGGAGCAGTGGCAGGGAGCGCTTGAGTTGCTCGGCGAGATGCGGAAGGCGAAACTTGAGCCCGACGTGATCAGCTACAGCGCTGGGATCAGCGCGTGCGAGATGGGCGTTCAGTGGCAGCGGGCTCTTGCGCTGCTCGGCGAGCTAACGTGGAGCATGTCTCTCCATGCCGCAGCCCGCGCTCACGAGAAAGGTATGAGGCTCAACTTGACTGTTGCGTCTTGACTGTTGCGTCTTGCTGAGCTTGAATCGTGCCAGAACGCCATTCCTCATACTTCCACAGAGATTCGACTTAAATGTTGCACCCGCATAATCCTGAATCCGTCCAAAGCACAATTTCTGGTAATGTGATGATGGGAATCCGTGAAACTATTGATGATGAACTAAACGGGTGTGCGCGGCGCAGAGGCGAGAGCCACATTTTGAACAGGAGCCGCCCTCAATCCGTGAAGCTCTTGCAAATGCTTCAAACGACTGTGCGCCGCGCTAAGGCGAGAGCCACATTTGGAAAACCACCCGCCCTCAATCCGTGAAGCTCTTGCAAGTGTTTAAAACAACGAATGTGCGCCGCGCTAAGGCGAGAGCCACATTTGGAAAACCACGCGCCCTCCATCCGTGACATTCGAATGTTTAAAACGAATGTGCGCGGCGCGCAGGCGAAAATCACATTTTGAAAACCACCCGCCCTCAATCCGTGAAACTCTGGCAAATGTTTAAAACGAATGTGCGCCTCGCTAAGGCGAGAGCCACATCTTGAAAACCACCCGCCCTCTATCTGCGAAAATGTTGATTGAGTCATAACTGGTGAGGAAGTCTCAAGCGAAACGCCCAGCCCGCCCTAAAAACTGGCCTCGGGGTGCGAGAAGGAAATTCGTTATGAGGAAAAGGAATGGAAGAGGAGGAGGAGGAGAAGGAGGAGGAGAAAAAGGAGGAGGAGGAGGAGGAGGGGGAGAGGGAGGAGGAGGAGGAGGAAGAGGAGGAGGAGGAGCAGGAGGAGGGGGAGGGAGGAGGAAGAGGAGGAGGAAACTCCTCCTCCTCCTCCTCCTCCTCCTCCTCCTCCTCCTCGTCTCTCCTCCTCCCGTCCTCCTCCTCCTCCTCGTCTATTCGGAGGCTTCGTGGAGCGCCCTCGTCGCTGCTGCTGGAGAGTCGCCTCGAAAAACTCTGGCCGGAGCGTGGCCAGGAGAAGTCCTGGGAGTCGACGGAGAAGGCGGGATTTGGGATTCAACTACGAGTGCCCACAGATCTTGGCGTTGCATTTTTTTCACCACGGGAGTTTTCACTCAATTTTGGGTTCCTGGGCACTCACATGTCAGAAACATGTGGTCCGTGGCCTAGGGCGTGATTTTTTGCGATGTTGCATTTTTTTAGTTTGCAACGTCGGATCTCAGGATAAGAGTGACCCTTCGCTGGAGTGACCTTTGGTGCGGGCTCATCGGGATCCCCCGGTCGCTGAGTGCGATGCGGTAGCGGCTGCTTGCGCGCTTGGGTTTGGCCGCTTTGCGCCCCCCAAAAGCCGCGCACTAAGGGTAAGTCTTACCCAGGGTCACTCACGCGTGTAGCCGAGGCACGAGGAGGTTGGGAGATCTGCTCAGTACTGCCCACTGCCCTCAGCGTCATCCGTCAGAGACGGAGGAGGAGGAGGAGGAGGAGGAGGAGGAGGAGGAGGAGGAGGAGGAGTGATGAAAAGGAGGATGCAGGGGATGCTTGGGAGTCGTTATCAAAAATGGCAGTTGACGACGCGCAAGAGGGGCTTGGGCGGGCACGGCGGTGTCCAAGAGGGCAGAGGGGCTCTTAGTTGCCACCACGCCTGCCAAGTGAGGCTCTCTTCCCAGATCCCTTCTGAAGGCCCCCTTCTGTTTTGAAGGCCCACACTCTCGCCCCCTCGTGGTCGCGCTCCACCACCGCCTCCCAAGCAAGAGGGAGGAGGAGGAGGAGGAGGAGGAGGAGGAGGAGGAGGAGGAGGGGGAGGAGGAGGAGGAAAAGGAAGAACAGGATGACCAGTATAAACCATCCCTCCCTCTGAGTCTCCTCTTCTTCAACGCCCAAGAAGTGGCTCTCGTTGCGTGGAGTGCCACGTTGAGAAAGACACAACCGTCAGAGAATCTCCATTCGTGCCCGGACGCAATTCTGGGGGATTCGCCGCAAATCCGCGTCCAAACAGCCCCAAATTGTACCAGAGTGCCGTTCCCGAGAATTCAACTCCGCGAATCCGTGTGGCTGTGGCGTCTTGACTGTCCCGAATCATGACCGGAACGCCTTTTCCTGGAACTCCGTGAAACTGCCCCGCTTTCGTAATACGAATTGGCGCGGCGCTAGGGCGAGCATCTCGTTTTGAAAAGCAGATGGTCTCCATCTTCGAAACTGCTGCAAGCTTTTGCGACGAAATTGCGCCGAGTTAAAGCGAGAGCCACATGTTGAAGAGGAGCCGCCCTCCATCTTTAGAAGTGCTGCAAAACTTGTGAGGCAAATCTTGGGCGAGGCACCCATGTCAAACAACGATCCGATCCCCAGCTGTGAAGCCGCTGCACACTTCAAGATTCAGGGTCTCCTCCTCCTCCTCCTCCTCCTCCTCCTCCTCTTCCTCCTCCTCCTCCTCCTCCCCCTAAGTACTAAGTGGTGCGGGAGTCCATGGCGAAACGTCTGGCTCCCCCCCCCGCAGACGCGCCCGGGGAGTGCGGAGAAGGAGACGGAGGTCTGAGAAGGGGAAACCGAGAAGCGTTGGAGGAGGCGGCGGGCGGAGCAAGCGGAGGATGGAGGAACACTGGGAGGTCTAAGACGAGGCGGAGGAGGAGGAGGGAGGAGGCGGAGGAAGAGCAGGAGGAGGAGGAGGAGGAGGAGGAGGAGGAGGAGGAGGAGGAGGAGGAGGGAGGAGAGAGGGAGGGGAGGGGAGGAGGAGGAGCAGGAGCACGGGAAGGCCCTGCCCCCGCGCCCCCCTCACCGAGGCAGTGATGCAGCTGTGGAAGAGCCGGAGGGAGGCTGCCGCCGACCAGTCGTCGTCATCGCCGTCGCCGTCGTCGTCGTCGTCGTCGTCGTGGTCGTGGTGGCCGTCGTCGGCGTGTTCGTCGTCGTCGTCGTCGTGTTCGTCGTCGTCGCCGTCGTCGTGTTCGTGGTGGTCGTCGTCGTCGTCTTGGTCGTGGTCGTCGTCATCGTCGTGGTGGTCGTCTTCGTCGTCGTGGCCTTGGTCGTCATCGTGTTCGTGAGAGTTGTCGTCGTCGTGGTCGTGGTCGTGGTCGTGGTCGTTGTCTTCGTCGTTGTGGTCGTCGTCGTGGTCGTCGTCGTGGTCGTGGTCGTGGTCGTCGTCATGTTCGTGGTCGTCGTCGTCGTCGTGGTCGTCGTCGTCGTCGTGGCCGTCGTGGTCGTCGTCACTGTCGTCGTCGTGGCCCCCTCTTCGGCGCCCGCGGGGGGCCCTCGACGGCGACAACGTAAGATCAGCTCTTTGCCAGAGAGGCCTTCGAGCAGTCCTGGGCTCGCAATGGCCGTTCGTGCCCCCCTCTTGGCCCCTCCTTCGTCAGCTCTCGAGGCCCTCTTGGGCCGTCTCGGGGCGCTCCCTGCGAAAGCAGCACGCCGAGTGGGCGGAGTGCGCCCACAGACGCAGCAGCCTTCCGGAGGAAGAGCTCGGACCGACCTCGAGTTCAGTTGATCAGTTCGCACGCTGCCTCGGCACGCACCCTCGAAGGGCAGCACGCAGCCTCAGGCGGGCTCGGTCAAGAAGCGCGCCGCGTGAAGGCTCCCGAGAAGCGCCCCTTCGCCAGTGTGGCCTTCCTGATGCGCGGCTGGAACGTTTTCGGACGTGTCCGTCGTTTCCCAAGAGGATGTCCATCGGAGGTGGATAGACCTCCTACCCTGACACGTCGATTAGTGAATTGGCCGGCTATCGGTTCTCGAGAGGGCGTCGCGGCCGTCATTTTTGCGGGTCCAGGTCCGTAGGTTTCGGTCCCAGGCCGTTTTCACTAAGGGGAGGTTTACGAAAGGGAGGTTTGTCCACTGCCGAGTCCAGCCTCGGCATGCGCTCCAGCAGCTGCGCGTCGCTGGGGGAGCGTCCCGGGGGTGCCTTAGTTGTCCCGAATGGCTTCGGGAGGCCAGAGGGGTCATTCGACGACGCGTAAGGGTGACCCTTGGCTGGAGGTTCTCTTGGTGCGGGACCGCTGGGCCCCCTCGATCGCCGAGTGCGATGCGTTGGCGGCCCAACTGGGATTAACCCCCCCTTCCTCTCCCTCGTCAGTTCTCCTCCTCCTCCTCCTCCTCATCCTCCTCTTCCTCCTCCTCCTTTGTCTTCCTCGTTCTCCTCCTCTTCCTCCTCGTCCTCGTAATTTCCCTCCTCCTTCTCCTCCTCCTCCTCCTCTTCCTCCTCATCCTTCCCCTTCATCTCCCTCTTCCTTCCTCCTCCTCATCCTCGCGCGGCTGCCTCTTCCGAGCCACTGCGGGGTGATTCTGGATGCAGCCTACCACGGGTTTTGCCGCATTTTGCCACGAAGTGCACGGGGGTACCTTGTGATGCGTCGCGGTCGTCCCCTTCCTCGACGTCCTTCTCCCACAAATGAACTGCCCCCCCCCCGCCCTCATGTATCCGCGCTCCCAAAGCCACTTGTGTACAGTAGTCCAAAACCTGGATAGCCGGGCTTCTGAGGGGCGTGGAAAGGCCTGGCGATGCACTGGAAGGACCTGGAGCGAGCTTCCGAAGGACCTTATGGAGAGCTTCTGGGCACGCGTATTGGGAAACGCTTGGAAGAGGCCCTTCTGGACACGTTGCGGGTTCCGGCAACTCGCGCCGAGGCTTCTGGACCGCCGCCGAGACGATCTCTGGGGCTACCCTGCGGTTTCGGCTTCTTATCTTCTTATCTAACAATTTTCTCTTAGCTCTCAGGTCTAAGGAGCTATCCGGGAATCATGCCTGGGGTCCACTCTTGTGTGTAGCGCCGATCCTCGGAGCCTCTCCCCAGCAGGCTGGTCGAGTGAGGCGCGGCAAGGAGGGGGGATCTTTCTTCCTCGAGGCTCGAGGGTCTATGTAGGATGATGTGAGCATGTTTGGCTCCTCCCTGGCTCCCGAGTGCGCTTCTCTGGGAAGCTCCAGAGGCCTCTGGGAAGCCTTGGCGAACCAGTGGCATGAGATGAGCAGGGGCAGCGAGAGCAGGAGGAGGAGGAGGAGGAGGAGGAAGAGGAGGAGGAGGAGGAGGAGGAGAGGGAGGAGGAGGAGGAGGAGGAGGAGGTGGAGGACGAGGAGGAGGAGGAAGAGCCGACGACCTAAGAGGGGGCGCGAGTCACCAGCAGGTGCGCCGCCTCGGTTCTTCGGAGTGGATCTGTGTGGCTCTGCCTGAGCGCTCGGCCGGGGGTGTCTTCGCGGCAAGATGGCTCCAGCCAGACTTAAATCGGGCATGTCCCTCTGCAGGAGGAATATTTCAGAACAGTGCAAACATAGTCACGGGACGATGTTTCGATTATGCTTGATTGTTTTAAGATCTTGTTTGACTATCTCGCATTGTTCTTCCAAAGTCCGCCTGCAGCAGGGCATGCCCGACCTGGAGCTGGCCTGAAAAGAGCGGGCTGGGGTGACGATGACCTCGGGGGCGGCGGCCACGAGGGGGGGGGACACGGGGGGGATCTCACGGCCGGGGCCGACTGCTCAGTTGCTATGCGCCCTCACGGGCACTTTCTCTTGTGTTGCTTCTGTCTGCACCTCGTGCTTCCGCACTTCACCACCCACCAAACCACCCCAACCCAACCCGAAGGCTCAGATTTACCCTCGATTTCCAGTTGGGGGGGGTCGGGAAACCTCGAAAAAACACGTGTGGAACCCTTACCCCCCCCAACCCGAAATTCGGGTCTTCGGGTTGGGTTGGGGTGGTCTGGTAGGTAGTCAGCACTAGCGGCTGCCTCGATTCCTTGTCGCGGGCCTCGGTCGCCGCTGTGCGCTCCGCCTTGGGGCCTCTCGCACTGGCAGGGCGCCGCAGGCACAGCACCGAATGTCCGACCAACGAAGAGCATGGCCAGGGCCATGCCGCGGGGGCCGATGCCAAGACACACCCTGCTCGCCTCCAGGGTGCTCTTAGGTTTCTTGGGTTTCGATGGTTCTGCGATGGAGAGCGTGACGCCCTCACGCCAACAATCGGAGGACGCCCTGGGGTCTGACGGTTTGGGTTTTTTGTTGCGGAAGGTGTCTTGTGGACTGGGCTCCACTGTATGGCGTCTCCCAGGTTGCCTGGCCCCCCCGCCGTCCTCCTTCAAAGCGTTTCCCGCCTCCCGCTGTTGTTCGTGCACGTGCCTCGGGCCATGATCTGCCAGCCCCCCTCGTCGGCGCCCCCCCTCTCCTTGGACGCTCCCGAGCACCCCGCCGCACGCACGCTGCGCGCGCGAATTTTTGCGCACGGGGCTCTCCGATCTGTTGCTGCGTGGCCTGGCCTGCTCAAGTTGCGAGCCTGCCCAGGGGGAGCTCGGCGTGCCCTGCGTGAACTTGTCCAATCGGGGGCGGCAGAGAGGGGAGTGATGACTACGGGGGGGTTGAATATCATGGCGTGGGCGTTTCTGAAGTGTAATGCAGCGGATGCGTTCGAAGAGAACTCTTGCCATAACTGGAAATCTCGGGGCACGTTCGTCGTCCAACTCTTTTGCCATTAAACAAGCCCAGGACTTCGCTGGGTCCCGGGGGGGAGAACCGACTCCCACGGAACAGGCGTTGGCAGGCAGGTTTCTTATCTCACGTGCCCACTCAGTAGCGTTTAATAACCATACCGCTTTGCCCTTTCTGGCCCACCACGCTTTGGCGCGACACTTTAACAGCGTCCCCGTCCCCGAACGCCAACGTTCCGAACACGTATCCGCCGCCCATCCCGCGAAGAGGACATATTCCTTGTCGCCAGCAGGGCATAGCTTGTCGCAGGGAACGCCGCCGCGACACGCTAAGAACAACTTCCTCACCGCATCCCTGACTTCGGCCGACCCAGGGTCGAGAGCACCCACAGAGGGCAGTTCGACGAATTATCAACAGGGGCGACGGCGACCGCGACAGGCGCTGCTGAAAAGCTTGGAGTCGTGCGGGCTCAACTTGTACTGCTTCTACAGCCGCGACCACGACGAGGTCATCGTCAAGATAGGCGCGCGCGCGCGGCCGCGGCCTCTGGTCGTCGCCGCCGTTTCTTCCTCCGTCGTAGCCGCACTTGTCGTCGTGGCCAGCCCGCCGCAGCCGTCGTTGTCGTCGTCGTCGTTGTCGTCGCCGTCGCCGTCGTCGTCGAGGGAGAAGGAGGATGATGATGATGATGATGAGGAGGAAGACCAGTGCAGGCCCAAGGCGCATCAACGATGTTGCAGTAGACCCTCCGCCCAAGCTCCCTGTTCACAAGGTCCCTACAATATTGTTTCGTGGCTTGGAGTGCCCCATGGGAGGAGAACCGTCACAAAGGCCTCAATCGTACCAATACGCCCTTCAGGGGACCCCAGGGCCCCGAATCAACGTGACCATTCCGTCCTGACAATCCTAACTCGCGCCAGAACACCAATCTTGGAATTGCAATACTGCGACTCTCGTAATGGCTGCGTCCTGGCAATCCTAAATCGTGCCAGGACGCCATTCCTGAGACACACATCAAATCAATGTAGTGCTTCGTCCTGGTAGTGTTAAGTCGCGCCAGAAAACCATTTCTGGGAAATCTGCGGCACGAATCCCCGGCACTGTTGTAAACTGTCAATACGCATGTGCGCTGCGCTAAGGGGAGATCAACATTTAGAAAACCAGCCGCCCTCCTTCTTTGAAGCAGCTGTAAACTTTCAGTACGAAGGTGCGCGGCGCTGACAAGTTTTACACAATTGAACAAAAGCTGCCCTCCACATCTTGTGCGACAGTTCTACGCGAGACGCCGGGCCCGCCGTACCGACGCGTCGGGGGGGTGCGACAGGGTGGGGTTAATTTTAGAAGGAGACATGATGGAGGCGAATAAGAAGGAGGAGGGGGAGGTGGAGGAGGATGAGGCGGAGGCGGCCTGCGAATCAGCAGGGTCCGAGAAAGGAGGAGGAGGAGGAGGAGGAGGAGGAGGAGGAGATGACGAGGAGGGGGGCGAGAAGGGGCAGGAGGTCCAGAGGGGCGAGAGGAGTGGAGCGGGAGGAGGAGGATGAGAAGGAGGAGGAGGAGGAAATGGAGGAGGAGCATCGATAGGGGAAGGGAGGAGGATGAGGAGGGTGGAAGAAGGAGCAGGGGCATGGCAGCAGGAACAGACGACGGGGACGAAGAAGGGAGGGGAATTAAGGGACGCAGGCGAGGAACAAAAAAAAAGAGGAGGAGAATGAGGAGGAGGAGGAGAAAGGGAACCACCTGAGCGCTGAGTGCCAGCCCTTGCGCCCGAGCTGAGAGCAGCTCCACGGACCGGGCCCCGCCTTCTACGACCCGAGGCGGTCTCCGCGAGGTGGGCCCCGCGTCGCCGCGCGGTGCCGCCCCGGCGAGGACGGGTGCTCAGTGCCCGCGGGTCCGCCCTGGCGGCGCTGTGGCTCACCGAGAGCGTTCCGCTACTCGCAAAGTGCCTACCCGCCAGAGTCTGAAGCAATCGTGTCTTCCTCTATGTGTAATGGACAGTGAATCCCTCGCGCTATGATGTTCCAGCCTGCTTTGGCCTTGGTTGCCAGAAAAATAATCGAGCACCAGGGAAGTACCAAACCTGAGGGTTTTCACGTGTCGGGCCCTGGGAGGCGATACTCGTTCGACATTGTTCGATACTTCCCTGGGAGCTCGAATTTACTTCTGGGATGTGGCCCTTGAGTACGATGGTGGCAACCTAACCCTCGCGGCGGATCCGCGCCACTTGCGACGGGTAATTTTGCGAGCCGTGGGGCGCGCTTGTCCGGTGGCTCCCAACCGTTCGCTTCGGCAGCTGCGAGAGGGGGCGGGAGCCCACGGGGCGGTGGCGGCCGAGCCCCCCCTGACTCCGCCTCCCGCGCCGAGGCCGAGGCCGCGGAGCGCGAGGCGCGGCGGCGGCGACGCACGCCCCGCGCCTCCGCGACGCTGCGCCACAGTCAGCCACGCTCAGAGGGGGGGTGTCGGGGAGTGGGGAGGGCTTCTTGGAAGCGCCCCTGCTTCGGAGATGGCGCGGGCCTGCCCTATACATTTCGAAGAAGAGAAGAGAAAGAAAACGCCATAAACCTAAACTTTTGGCGCCCCGCGCGGATTTCTTTGATGTGCGCTGGGGTCCCGTGGCGGTGCCGCTCCTCGCGCGCGGAGCGCCAAAAGTCCATGTTTATGGCCGGCGCCTTCTGAGAAGCAACCCCCTTCTGAGAAGCCTCCCCCCCTCCCCCATAGAGCGTGTGCTTGTTTTGTTGCTGGGGGCATAATGGGCATTATGGCCCCAGCCCCCCCCCCTCCCCCCCTATAGAATGCAACGCCCCCCCCCAGTGCGCTCCAGGCACTGCTGCCGTGCGCACGGCGGGGGGGAGGCGTTGCATGCTACCCCCCCCCTGGCCCTTCCCCCCCCCCACACTGCCCATTATCGCCGAAAATGCAAAAGTGCGCTCGTCCCCCCCCTGCGCGCCGCCAGAATAGACTGCCGGCGCTGCGGAGCGGAGGGCCGTCTGCCGGCCCGCGCCAGGGCGCCCTGCGCAGGGGCGCTCTTGCGGCCGCTGCCGCTCCGGGGGGGGGGGGGTGCGGCACGCGCTTGCTGGTCTGGAAGCGGGCATGCCCCTCTAGGGGAGGAGTATGTGTAAATAGTCAACACATGGTCTGGGGACGATTTTTTGTATTTATCATAACTTTTGAGCGTAGTTGGGCTATTTGAGGACATTCGCTCAAAATCCGCCTGGAGGAGGGCATGCCCGACCCAATTTTGGTCGCGGCGGGCGCCTGCCGCAGGGGAAGGAGGGGGGGCCCGCTGCCGCCCCGGCACCCACGGGCCAGGCATCCGAATAGGGGAACGAACCATGACATCAGCATCACTCCGACGGTAGGACCCCACATGAGAATATGTTTTTACTTGCCTGGGGATCTCCTCCTGCCCCCTCCCTTCTCCCATCTACTCCTGCCTGCTCCTCCTCCTCCTGCCTGCCCCTCCTCCTGCCTCAACCCCTGCCTCCTCCGCCTCTTGCCTCCTCCACCACCACCTCCTCCTCCTCCTTCTCCTTCTCCTCCTCCTCCTTTTCCATCTCCCTCTCCCTCCTCCTGCCCCTCCTACTCCTCACTCCCTCCTCCTCCTCCTCCTATCCCTCTCCCTCCTCCTCCTCCTCCTCCGCCTCCTCCTCCTCCCTCCTCCTTCCATCGCTCTCCCTCCTCCGCCTCCTACTTCTCGTCTCCATCTTCCTCCCCCTCCTCCTCCTCCTCCTCCTCCTCCTCCTCCTCCTCCTTCTCCTCCTCCTACTCCCGCCTCCTCCTTAGGCCCCCTGCCTCCTCCTGGGGCCTCTTGGGGCTTCCTGGAGCCTTCGGGCTCCTGGGACCTCCCTGGGCCTCCTGGGGCATTCCACCTCCTCCTCCTCCGCCTCCTCCTCCTGCTCTCCTCCTCCTCCTCCTCCTCTTCCTCCTCCTCCTCATCGTCTTGTTCCCCCTCTGCCTCCTCCTCCGCTTCCTCTTTTTTTTCTCCTCCTGCATCCTCCTCCTCCTCCTGCTCCTCCTCCTCCTCCTCCTCCTCCTCCCCCTCCTCCTTTTCCTCCTCCTCCTCCTCCTCCTCTCTCGCATGCGGAACACGACCTAGAGGAAACGCACGACGTGCGTCCCAGCGGCTACGCTTTGGAGGACGACCCGAAGGAAGCGCGCGCTGGAGGACGACCCGGAGAAAACACGCGATGTGCGGGCCCCATAGGGGAAGGGGCTCCCGCCTGGGACTTCCTCGGATTTTACCCACAGACGAGGCTCCCGCTTGAGATTCCCTCCTTATCCAACCCTCAGGAGTCCAAAAGTGACGACGGTTACAGGAAGCCGATGGCCCTCCTCGGATCCGAACATGTCGGGAGGGGTTCCCGCCTGAGACTTCCTAGGAAGTTCACTCCCAGACGAAGCTCACGCCTGATACTTCCTCCATACGCAGGCCTCAGGAGACCAAGAGTGATGACAGTGAAGGTTTCCGGTGGCCCGCTCGGACTGCCAATATGGAGTGCGGGACTTCACCCTTGGTGTACATCTTGTGACGTGGCCTCAGCGCAGGCCCTGCTTCTGTGCAGTTCTTTTGGGTATTGCTGTCGCTGCCCGCTCACCAGGCTGGCGGGGCCGTGCCGTCAGCGGCGCAGGCACTCCGCCGAACATGCGCCTTGGTCGCCGGTCGTTTCGCCTTGTGTGGCCGCACAGGCTGTGCTCGCCCCGCGTTTAGCTGTGGCTCGCGAGTCTGGTGCACGTGGGGGCCCCGGTCTTGTTTTTGCTGGCACTGACTGTTGGGCGGCGGCACGGTGGGCGTTTTCGTCGCCTCAACAGGGTTCGACCTCGAGTTTTGCCCCACTGTCGTTGGGTCGGGCAGGTCCGCTGAGAACTGGGCCCTAACGATCATCAGCCACTTCTCTCTTCCAGAGTTTGTTCGATGGTCTTCAATGTGTTCTTTGCTGCCAAAGGCTGATACCGCGTAACCGCGTCAGATTACTGCTGGCTTCGATGATGAAGTATGGATTTTTTCGGTCTAGGGTTTCACGGGCATCCGTATCTGTGTTCTATCACTTGTGACATGGACAAGGACGAGAATGGGCGGCGTTGCGTTGACTAATTGTTCGCGCTCGTTGCTGTTTTGTTATGTCTATATTGTTACGTTTCTTTCCCTCTTCTCCTGCCCCTCGTCGTCACCATTTGGTTCACACTTTCTCGGCGGGTGCGCGTTTTGATAGTTACCCTTCATGGTTTCACTCCTGCTACACTGAGTTGCATCATCGTGATTTTGCAACAAAACACGACAGCGCGGGCACAGGTATGGGGGCAAGGAGGCGATGGCAGAGGAGGAGGAGGGGCAGCATTGGGACAAGTGGCGGAAGACAAGGAGGAGAGAGAGGCCGAAGGTCAGGCTGAGGAACCGCACGCGGAGGAGATACCGGGGGAGAAGGTGTAGGATGAGGAGCAGCAAGACAAGTAGCAGCAGCAACAGAAGCAGCAGCAGCAACAGCAACAGCAGCAACAGCCAACAGCAGGTGGAGCAGGCGGATGAGGATGGGGGAGTTCGCCGAGGAGGACGGGTGGAGGACGACGACCACCACCACCTCTCCGACGGCAGCGGCGACGACCACCCGGACGTGGCGACGACGATGGCGCCGACGACCACGGGCACGACTCGACCACGATCACCACCCACGACGACCACGACGGCGGCGAAGACCACGACGGCGGCAGGGCGACGACGGCGACGACGGCCCCCCACCCCCCCCCCAGGCGCGAGCGCCGCGAAGCTCAAGGACGCCGCCGCGAGGCGCGAGGGCGGGCCGCTTCGGGGCCCCGGGGCCTCCCCCCGCCCCGCGCGCGCACCGCGCGCGCACCGCGCGCGTGCGCACGCCGCGCGCGCCGCCCACCCACGCGCGCGCGCGCGCGCGCGAACGCCCGACGGCCCGACGGCCGCGAGGCGCGGAGCCGCCGGTGGGCGGCCCGCGCGAGTGTTTCGGAGGACGCGTGCGGCAGGGTCGCGCCGTGCCGACCGGCGGCGACCCCCGCGCGGGCGTGGGAGGTCGAACGCCGCCCGTGGCCCAGCCTCGGCCCGTCGTCGAGCGATTCGGCGTTCACAGAGCGGCCGATCGTTCAAGTTTGAAAGATCCCCGCGGTGTCAGGAACCAATGCCGGGGTCGACACGACGCGAGCCTGCCCTTAAGGGGGGGGGGGGGGGCGATAGAAGGGGGGGCGGCGGCGAGGGCTGCCGCAAAGGGGCCCTGGCAAGGTTCAGGGCCCCTTCAGGGGCCCTTGAGGGCCCAAGAGGGGGCTTTTGGGGCCCAAGAAGGGCACCTCTCTCCCCCCACCCCCCCTCCTCCATTTATATCGCCCCCCATTTATCAAGGGAGGAAGAACCACCCTGACTCGACAATCGACGTTTTCTACACGGCCAAAGGGCGTTTACTAAACAGCCCTGCCCTCTTCAATTCAATTCTTCCTTGGGTGCGTTTGCGCAATGGCCTGTCTGGCCGGGGTGATTATTATGGGGGTGGGTTGTCTGCCCTCTACTTCAATCCCAGCCCGAGCGCCGAGGAGAGGGAGCAGCAGCAGTCCGCCGACCTTCCAGGGCGCCCGCCCGTGGAAGATGGAGACCGGCTGCGCGCAAGAGCGACCCGCTCGTCGGAGTGGCCTCCTGGCGCGGGCACGCGCCTGAGGCGCTCTAAAAAAGGGCCTCGCCTTCGAGGATCGACAGAGTTGTCACCTCTTCCTCGGCGGAAGGCCGGCGGAAGCAAAACGAGGCCACATCCGCGGGCGGGAGCCGGCGGACATTGGCGGGAGCTCGGCGGGAGGCGGCGGTCGTAAAAGATGCGCCCCAAAGAGACGACAACTTCTTTGGGGCCGAGGGTTTCCGAACTCCGCCACCTGGGCCCTCGGATGACTGCGCGCGAGGAGTGCGCAGCGTCCTGCGCGCGCAGGCTTGGCCTCCCCGCGACCCCCCCCATGAGCTTGAGCAGGGACCGACCGTCCCGGCATTCCTATGGTCCTACCACGACATGTTCTGAGAACCCAACAATGTTCTTATAGCAAAGACGATGCTCTTAGAACATCATCAGCCCGATGGGTTTCAGCAGGACAGTCCCCGCCAGAAACGTTCTAAGAACATTACGCGCAGACCACAAAAGGTTCTTGGAACATGTCCTTGGCGGGCCTATAGGCTAGGCCTCCCAGATGGGGTCGGAGTAGATGGGGTCGGAGGATCACGGCGCATCGCCGATGCATCGGCGATGTGGATTGATGCGGAGCCCGATTTGCTCTGATTCGGCGTCGCCGATGCATCGCCGACGTCGCCGGTGCATTGCCGCTGCATCGCCAGTGCATCGGCGATGCATCGCCGATGCATCGCCGATGTATCGCCGATGCGGCGCGATCCTCCGACCCCAATTACTCCGACCCCATCTGGAAGGCCTCTGCATACGTAGGCGAGCCAGGATACATAGGCGAGCCAGGAGGAGGAGAAGGAAGGAAGGAAGGAACGAAGGAAGGAAGGAAGGAAGGAAGGAGGAGGAGGAGGAGGAGGAGGAGGGACGAGGGGCGAGGGGCGAAGAGGGTGAGGAGGAGGAAGAGGAGGAGGAGGAGGAGGAGGAGGAGGAGGAGGAGGAGGAGGAGGAAGGAGGAGGAGGAGGAGGAGGAGGAGGAGGAAGGAGGGGCATAGCAGTGGCGCGCCGCCGTTGGGATGCAGGCGGCGTGCTACACTCAGAGGCAGCCATGATTGGGGGAAGTACGCTTAGCTTAAGTCGGGCGTGTCCCTCTACAGGAGGAGTGTTAAAAATTATGCGGACGGAGTTCCCCACATAAAGAGATTAACGGTTTCGTGGGACCCATTTTCTTGATACCCTCCTCGCTCAGGCTGGGCCTCCCTGGAGGGGGAGGTGGGTGGGAAGGAGAGGGCGTTCTGGGAAAACAAGAACCCCACTCAGGATGTGGGGAAAAAACAGTTCAAATATTAAGGGGACGACTTTTCGACTATTGTCTAATTGGGCACTCAGAGGCAACGATGGGGGAAATACGCTCAGGGCGGGCGTGTCCCTCCACAGGAGGAGTGTTCAGAAACCGTTTCAATAGTCAGGGGGCGACTTTGCGAACATGTGCTAACTATTGTCGAATATGTCATGGCTATTTTCATTTTTCTTCCAAAATCCGCTTGTACGAGGACATGCCCGACTTCAGGATCTGCATAAGGAGGGATGCATCGACCCCCAATCACCCATTGATCGCCGATAGGGGCCCGATAGCCCCAACCCGCCCAGGAACGTGCGGATTCGCAGTCGGGGGCCTATCGCCGATCCATCGGCGATGTATCGCTGATTTCATGCCGATGCATCCCCCTCTGTGCCAGTCCCCCCCTTATCGTTGCCCCTCATAGATTCCTTCGCTTTTGCCCGAACGCCTGGTGTCTCCTCAGCAGCAGCAGCACGCTGACCCAGACCCCCGGCGTCATGATTTCTGCATGGCGTCAACCTCCAGAAGTCTCGACCCATTCGCCAGGACCGGCTAATCATCCCTAGTCGTGTTTGTCATTGCCCCGAGGCCCGGAAAGGGCTCCCAGAGGCCGAAAAGAGCGAAACACTTTCCGTCGCAACTTTCGTTTCACAGCTCGAGGGGGTCTGGGGAGGGGTCCCCCACGGATGTATGTCACTGAGCATATTTTTGCTCTCCCGCGGCGGCGGACGCACCCTGTGGAGCGGGGAGGGGTCACCAAGCGCGTTCCACTAACCTCGTCAAGCGCCCACTCGCAAACGTTTGAAGATTAGATGTTTGCTTCGATGGAAATGATCGTAGATCCCCTGCAGCAGATCCAGCCATTTGCGAGCAGTGACCTTGCGAGTGGTGGAACGAGCTCGTCTGAGGGGGCGAGGGCGTCCAGGTGGCTCCGCCTGGCAAGGCCGGCGAGGTCACGACCACGACCCTGTGGCTCGGCGTCACGGCCGGACTCGACGCTCCCTCCTTCCCCCGTCCCTCCACCATACGTGCCCCCGCCCGCCCTCCTCTCTCCCCACCTCCGCCTCCGCCCCCTCTTCGAGTAGGAAAACATGACAGAAACGTGAGCTTTGGGCGCTCCGCGCGGATTTTCCTGGGTCCCAGCTGGGCCTCCCCTGGCAGCGCCTCCGGCGCCGCTCCTGGTGCGCCGCCTCCTGCTCCTCGGGCCCCAGCCGCCCTTCACCTCCCTCAGGCGAAGGGAGGGGAATGGGGAGAACGAGGAGGAGGAGGAGGAGGAGGAGGAGGAGGAGGAGGAGGAGGAGGGAAGGAGGAGGAGGAGGATCAGCTGGATTGGGCTCTCAGGACGGGGACGGGGTCGAGCCGTGCCCCGATGAAGTCAGATCTGAGGCATTCTTGCCCGCATCGCGAGCGATCTCTCCCCCCAGCCCCGTGTGTCCCCCGAAATCCCAGGCACGAGCGCCTGGGATGCCAAGGGTAAGCCCGCCACGCGCAGACGGAGGGGTAGGCCGAGTCCTCCGCGCCTTTGGCGGGAGCCCCTGTCGGAGGTGGTGCAAGTCAGTCTTGCCGGAAGGGATGCGATGCCGCGTGCACGCCCGACTGACAAAATACAGCCAGCCCCATGGATTGATGGGCCCGTATCGGGCAAGAGGCCGGCCTGAAGGGGAGCAATGGCGCGCGCGCGCGTTGCTGAGTGAATAGCTGCAGTCAGGCCACCCCCCGCTGTCACACACCAATCTCGGTTTCAAGGCCAACGTCGAGCAAGTTCCATTCTCGATGGCGATGGAGCGGGTCTGGTCCACAGCCTTGGATGACGTCCGTACACACTACTGTAATGCACGTGTGTACGTGTGTACGTGTGTGTGTGTGTATGTGTGTGTGGTGTGTGTGTGTGGTGTGTGTGTGTGTGTTTTTGTGTGTGTCTGTGTGTTTTTGTGTGTGTGTGTGTGTGTGTTTTTGTGTGTGTGTGTTTTTGTGTGTGTGTGTTTGTTTGTGTGTGTGTTTGTTTGTGTGTGTGTGTCTGTGTGTCTGTGTGTCTGTGTGTCTGTGTGTCTGTCTGTCTGTCTGTCTGTCTGTCTGTCTGTCTGTCTGTCTGTCTGTCTGTCTGTCTGTCTGTCTGTCTGTCTGTGGTGTGGGTGTGGGTGTGGGTGTGGGTGTGGGGTGTGGGTGTGGGTGTGGGTGTGGGTGTGGGTGTGGGTGTGGGTGTGGGTGTGGTGTGTGGTGGGTGTGGGTGTGGGTGTGGGTGTGGGTGTGGGTGTGGGTGTGGGTGTGGGTGTGGGTGTGGGTGTGGGTGTGGGTGGGTGGGTGGGTGGGTGGGTGGGTGGGGGGGGGGGGGAAACTGGCGCGGATTAGGTGGCCTTGCTCGCTCTAGCAAACGTCAAGTCGGCCATGGGACTGGCAGCAGAAGCTACAAGCCCAAGGCCCGCTGTACGGGCGCTGCGCCCGATGACCAGATCGGGCCTCGATCTCCAGGGACGGAGGAGGGGAGGAAAGGGGAGCGAGGCAACAGGGATTTGCCGCCCATGAAAGATATCCTCAGGGCAAAAAGGGCCCCAGGCCTTCCCCAGGACCAGCTCTTCATCCAGAGCCGTTCTTCACGGCCCAGGCGCCGTGACGGGCCCCGTTGGGAACGGCGAGCAGATTCCAGGCCTCGAGGCCCCGGCTCCCTCTTCGCACCAGGGCGATACTCGCGACCCCCGCTGCGCGGAGGTGCCGGTACAAGCTGCAGCTGACGCCGCAGTACCTCGGCGCCTATGCGGAGTTCCGCCACGACAAGCAGGACCCCAGGGGCGGCGGGCTCGCGGTCGGGCGGCTCCTCCCTCCCCCCTCCCCCTGCTCGGCCTGGGGGCACCCGAGTGGGTCCCCACCCCCGTCACGCAGGGAACCCCCTTGGCATCGGGGCGTCAAGTTCGGTCGAACCACCCTCTCGGCAGCAAACCTGCCCGGCTGGTCGCGCCGGCGAGCCGTGCGGCCTCCCTTCGGAGCCAGCCTGCAGGCGCTCTCGCGGGGGCGCGGGGGCGAGGAGGAGGGGGGGAGGAGGAACCGGGGGAGAACTGGAAGGCGGCGGGTTCGTGGTCCTATTGCTCCTTCCTCGCCCCTCTACCACTACACCATGTGAATACTACTCTCCTCTCTCCCCTGGTGGCGTCCGGGAAATGTTCGGCCCCCTTCCGCGTAGTAGTTTCTTTCCTGGGAAACGGGTTTTCGCTTGGGTTGTTTTTCACAATGCTGCTCTCGCTGAAGCGCTGGCCTCATTGTCGGGCTACCGCTCGTTCCGAATCGTGCTCCCGCTGCAGCGCTGGCGTCATTATTTCCAGCGCCATGCCACGGCATGGTTTTCGGTCCGTCCAAATAGGCCCCAAAATCCAGAAAATGCACCCCCGACAAAAACCATCCGAAGTGATAACACATTCGGTGCCGATTTGTTGATCTTTGTTGGCCGCAGAAGCTCCTAGGGGCATCGCCACGCCATGGTGTGTCAGGCTACGCGTCCTCATTTCCGCGCTTCGCGCTTGTTTTTGTTCACGATGCCGCTCTCGCTGAAGTGAAGCCCCCCCTCCCCACTTTGTGGCGTCGCCACGCCATGCTATGTTAGGATACGCGTTCTCATTTCCGCCCTTCCGCGCTTGGGTTTTCCCGAAATGCTGGTCTCGCTGAAGCGTTGGCTTCATTTTCGGGCTACCGCTCGTTCCGAATCGTGCTCCTGCTGCAGCACTGATCTTATTTCCGTGCTTCCGCTCGTTCCGAATCGTGCTCCCGCAGCTACGTTGGCGTCATTATTTCCAGTGCCATTTCAAGGCATTGTTTTCGGTCCTTCCAAATAGGCGCCAGAGTCGGGAAAATGGCCTCCCGAAGAAACCATCAGAAGTGATTAGACATTGGGTGTCGATTCGTTGATTTTATGGGCCGCAGAAGCCCCCCCACTTTGGGGCGTCGCCACTTCATGCTATGTCATGCTACGAGTTGATTTTCGACACCGTGCTATGCCATGCAACGCTGTGCCATGCTGCGGCATCCGATTCTGCGAAGAGAGAGAGGAGATCTGCGCCATGGTCACGGATGGGGGGGGAGGGGCAGGCGTCAGCTATGACGCGAGCCCCCCTGGCTTGCCCTCGTCCCCTCTCAGGAGGGAAAAAAACACACAGACACAATTAATCGTCGACCCCCAGGAAAATATGGGAAAATATGGGAAGTGGGGGGGAAGACAGAAACCCAGAGAATATAGGAAAATATGGGCAATCCTTTTATTTGTGTGCATTTATTTGTGTGTCCTGGCGCCCCTTCACCCTCGCCCGCCTCCGCCTCGCCATCCTGGTCCTCCTGCTCGCACGTCTCCCTCGCCCGGCCGCGCTCCCGCCGCGCTGCGCCCCCGGGCTCGGCGCCCCGCCCCTCAGCGCGGCAGGCCGAGGCGCCTCGAACCCACCGGCCGAGGGGCGGCGCGCCGTGGAGCCCGCCGCCAGAGCCACGCCCACCCCTCCTCCACACTGCTGCCCTTGCTGCTCCAGCCGTCCTCCTCCTCCTCCGCCTCCTCTCTCCTCCTCCTCCTCCTCCTCCTCCTCTCTCCTCCTCCTCCTCCTCCTCCTCCTCCTCCTCCTCCTCCTCCTCCTCCTCCTCCTCCTCCTCCTTCTCCTCTCTCCTCCTCCTCCTCCTCCTCATCCAGCTATCCTGCTTCAGCCTGCTGCCGCCTCTCGCCCCCATCAATCCCCGGCTCCTGCGCAATTCTCTCCCTCGTGGGCGTCCTGCCCCAGAGGCCGGCAGGCCAGCAGGGACCCTTGCAAACACACTGCAGCCCCACCTCGGGCTGCCGTGCTGGCGTCGGCGGCGGCGGCTTCCAGCCCCCCGCCTTGCCGGACCACCCATTCCACGACCCCCTCGAGTCATGAAAAAATTCACGACGGGAGGTTGATCGATACTCTCGGCCTCTGGTGGCCCTTGCCGTGCCTGCCTCGGAGTCATGACGAAACACCGGTCCCGAGGAAGGGGTCGAGACCTTTGGGGATCGACGTCAGAGATCAATCATGACGTTTGGAATGACGTCGGGAGTCTGGGATGGGGGGATTACGGACTCACTCCCTCACGCCACTGCCCTCATGCCCGACGACATCGCAGACGTTCTCTGCACCAGGTCCTTCGTAGAGGACCCATGGTCTGGGAGCATGCCAGCGCCGCGCATGCTCTGGCCGTGGCAGAAGGAACTCTCTAATTCACCTGCGCCCAGAGGTCTGGTGAGACTGCCGCCTCTCTTCCACTCTTCTGGGTTGATTCTGCCCTGCGCGGCCCGCCGGCTGATGGATCGTTGTGGCAACCGCCTTCGTCTTTCCTACAATCGTGTGCGTGTGTGTGTGTGTTTGTGCGTGTGTTTGTGTGTGTGCGGTGCGGGGCGGTGTCTGTATCTGTGTCTGTGTCTGTGTCTGTGTGCGGGGCGGTGTGTGTGTGTGTGTGTGTGTCTGTGTCTGTGTCTGTGTCTGTGTCTGTGTCTGTGTCTGTGTGTGGGTGTCTGTGTGTGTGTGTGTGTCTGTGTTCGCTTCGGCCTCTTCCGCGTGCAACCGCTTCCGCGTTTGTTTGGTTTGCATGTGGCTGCCCCCGCCCCGTCCGCCCGTCCGGGTGGCATTTCGCCTGAGCGTGTCCCGGCTAGGCGCCTCACGACGGTGCCGTCACCTCGCCGTTGGAGGGGGAAGACGAGAACTGTGTGCGCGTATACTTTCGCGGCGGATGTCTTCCGAGGAGAAGAGGACAGTTATGTCTCCTTGCGGACCCCTCGTCGCCACGGCTGGATTGCCCCCAGGGGTCCTGTGCATAGTGCGCACCAGGAAAGGTCCATGGGCCAGCGGTGCAGAACCAGGAGGGGAACGATGCACAAACACAAATACACGCTGAGCGTCGTGAACATATGGAGCCCACGTTGGCAATGGAGGGGGACAAGAAACGACTCCACGCACAAGTGACCCTTCGCTGTCGCTAGAGTCGCTGGAGACGCTAGAGTAACCTTCGGCGCTGGCCCCGCGAGGGTCGGAGATTTCTCTTTTGGGATGAGCTTGGCTTCGCGTCGGCACCAGTAATTATCGCGCGAGTGCGCCCGCATCTGAGCGCGCCAGGTTTTGGCCCCCCCCACACCTTGCCATCGACAGCACAGCATACGCGGCGCACCGTACAGTATGCATTGGATGTCCCGAGAGGAGGCCGGCCGACCGGACTGCGCGTTTCCCGCCGCAGGACCAGTCCCGAATCGCAGCCCAAATCCCAAATCATCCGTCTTGAGTATGTTTGAACATATGTATGCATGTATATATATATATGTGTATGAACATGCGTGTATATGTCCGAGAAGTTATCCACATAGATTCAAACATATTTCAGGCCCGCGGTTTGGGCTTGTTTGGGCCATGACGCCAGACCTGGTCAGATGTCATCGCGATGCGGCCCGGCAGTGCCAGACCTCATCGTGGTGGCCCACGGCAGCGTTTGCTTCCGCAGCGCCTTCGAAGTGCCATTCGGGGCGTTGGAATCCAATCGGCTGGATTTCGTTTTTGCCCATTGGCGCAACAATTCTTTCGAGTGGCGTCCCGTCGGTCGTCGATGCGGCGCGGATTTACTGGCTTGCGCGGCTGCGTGGGGCATCAACGGGAGTCCCTGAAATTGCGCACAACGTCACTCTCGCCTAAGGCCATTCCTGCGTCGAGTTGGAACACAACACAGGAACTGTGAACAAACATTTGGGATATTCTAGAACTTGTTCCGATATCCGTGTGTGTGTGTGTGTATACCTGGGCTCCTTAGTATATGTCTTTTCCTCCCACCGCTGCGCGTACCGATGCCGCGCGGCGCGAGCTCCGCGTCCTGCGTCTGGGCGGCCGCCAGGGCAGCGCCAAGGCCAACCACCAGGACCAGCGGATCGTCTCGCACTTGTACCAGAGGCGCGGGCATCGGGCATCGGCGGCGCCCCCTTGCCCCCCAGCTCACCCGCGGGGGCGCGAGGAGAACCGCGCTTGGCGCGTCGCGGTCTGGGTCAGGGCGATCGCCTCTCTCTCCAGGGGAGCGACGCGAGGGCGCGCGGGCGCGAAGACAGCCGCGCATCGCGAAGCGCGGTGCGCCACGCGCGGAGGGAGGCGACCTAGGTCCCCGGGCCTCGTCGGACGGACGCTTGCAATCCCAACGGCCGTCCGCTGTCTCGGCCTCCGCGGGCGCTGTTGTCGGGCCATGGGGCCATCAAGCGACGATCCGGGACGGACGTCTGCGCTCCAGGGGCGAGGAGCGGCCCGCGGACTGCGGCGAAGGGTCCGTGGGAAGTTTGGGTTCCTGTCGTCGTCATCCTGATTACCAGTCGGCTCCGTCTCATCCTTCTCGTTGCTTTTGTCCATGCGATGCCTTCCCCTCTGCCTCCTCATCGAACTCATTGCTGTTGCCTCGCTTCTCCTGCCCGTCCTCACGGAGGCCGAGCACCTGCTCCCGAGCTCCCAGATTCCTGTCCCTCCCAGCTGTGAGCTGGGACCTGGACATCTCCTCCTCCTCCTCCTCCTCCTCCTCCTCCTCCTCCTTCTCTTCCTGATTCTCCCTCCCCCGCGTCGGGTACGACACGCCTGGCGCTCAGAACGCGCAACAGGATGAGGGAGGAGGAGGGAGGCAGGGAGGGTGAGAAGTCCTCCTCCACCTCCACCTCCTCCTCTGTCCTCCTCCTCCTCCTCCTCCTCCTCCTCCTCCTCTTCCTCCTCCTCTTCCTCCTCCACCTCCTCCACCTCCTCCTCCTTCTGCTCCTTCTCCTCCCTCCTCCTCGTCTCCACCCTCCTCCCCCCCTCCTCCTCTCCTTCTCCTCCGCCTCCTCCTCCTTCTCCTCCTCCTCCTCCTCCTCCTCCTCCTCCTCTCCTCTCCTCCTCGACCTCCCCCTCGCTCCTGCCTGGCCAAGGGGGGGTGGGTGGGGCGCCTCAAGGGGGGCAGCGTGGCTCTGCCCGAAAGACGAGGAGTCGCCCTGGAGGGCTTTGGCGGCCACCCGCGCCTCGCCACGCTCGGAGCTCCCAGTGCGGCCCGCTTCGGTGCGGCAGCCGTGGTGGCATCATCGATGCGCGGCCCGAATCCCACGAGCCCGATGCGATCGGGTCCTCCTCGGCCCTCCTCCCTCCTCCTCGCTTCCTCCTTCCCCCTCCTCCTTCCCCCTCCTTCAAGCTCCCCCCCCTCCTCCCCTCCCCGCTCTGCTGCTTCTTGGTTCCTCCTCGCCTCCTCCTGCCTCCTTTCCTCCTCCTTCTTCCTCTTTTCCTCCTCCTCCTCCCCTCCCCGCTTGCTCCTTCCTCCTTTCCCCTCTTCCTTCCTGCTTGCCTCCTCCTTCCCCCTCCTCCTTCCCCCACCTTTCCCCTCTTCCTTCCTGCTCGCCTCCTCCTTCCCCCTCCTCATTCCCCCCCCCCTCCTTCCCTTCCCGCCCTGCCTCCTCCCCTCCTTCCCCCCCCCCTCCGCCCTCGGGGGCGCCGCCCGCCGGTGGGCCTCCCCTCGCGGGCGTGGTGGGAGCGAGGGGGAGCATGGGAGGACCTTCCCCGACTCGGGCGCGCCATCTCCACGAGCCAGACGATCGCAAACATGGATCAAGGGGGCGTGGATCAGCGACGGGTCCTTTTCCAAGGGAAATCGAGGATTTTCCCGCCGCCGAGCGAGGCGGCACCGGCCGCACTTTGGAGAGGGGACTTCCCCCGATCCATGGATTTGGCGACCGCGCGCCAAATCCATGGATCGTTAATCCATGGTTGCGCGCCCCCGAGAGAGGAGAAAAGTCGAGAAAACAAAAACGCCATAAACATCAGCTGCTGGCGCTCCGCGCGGATTTCTTGGATCTGCGCTGGGCCCCCCCCTGGCGCGCGGAGCGCACCAGGGGCGGCGCCCGAGGCAACGCCGGGGGGGACCAGCGCGGATCCAAGAAGAAGACTGCGCGCAGCGCCGACAGTTTATGTGTAAGGCGGTTTATCTTCTCCTAAAGAGAGCGATGGTTGGCAGGGGGTGGGAAGGAACCGATACCGCTGCTCTTCCCTCGTGCTCGATCTTCTGGGCCTTCTGCGGTGCCCTCGTCGCCACGGCTGGGTTTTGCTGCGAGATCGGGGTCCGAGCGCGCCCCAGGAGCGGTCCACGGAGTATGTTTGCCCAGAAGGGGGATGATGGAGAGAGGGAGGGAGGAGACGGAGGAGGTGGCAGGGAGGTAGAGGATGGAAGGAGGTAGAGGAGGGAAGGGGAGGAGGTAAGTGGGGGACTCCGCTTCCGCCACCTCCGCCTCCGCACTCCTCCAACTCCACCTTCCCCATCCCCTTCCTCTTCCGCCTGCTGCTCCTCCGCACCTTCACACTCTGGCTCCTCGTCCTCCTCCTCCTCCTCCTCCTCGCTCTGTTTTTTCTCATTCGGCCCTCTTGCCCTCCTCCTCGTCCTCACCTTCCTTCCTGGCGAGGCGTCCCGACGACCTCGGCCCATGGGAGCCTTTGGAGCCCGATCGGACCACCCCCCTCGCCAAGCTTTGCTGCCCGTTCGCGCCATCTGGCCAGGTGGGGAGGAGGAGGAGGAGGAGGAGGAGGAGGAGGAGGCGAGCTTTGTATGGTCAGGTGCGTGGGGGGTGGCACTGCCTTCCTCGAGGCGAGGCCCCGAAGGCCCAGGGCGCAGCGCGCTTGAACGCCGGGCGTGATGCGGCTGCCCTTAAGTCGGGCCCCTCCCCCTTCAGGACACGTACGTTCAGCAGTGATACTGCCGGTCCTCCCCTCCACCTCCTCCTCATTTTCCTCCCGTGCAGTACTTCACATTCTTTCACACGCGTGTGCCTTAGCAGGCGCCTCGGTGCCCCTCCGCCGCGCCTTCATGGCGCCACGCGTGCGTAGCCGGTAGCCGTAGCCGTAGCCGCAGTCCAAGCAAATGGTCTGGATACGATGTTCGATTATGTCTGCATGTGTTTCAACATTCGTTTTACTAATCTTTCTCTGTCGTCCAGCATCCGCCTCTAGGAGGACATGCTCGACCTAAGCCTATCCGCGTCCGCATGGGGCTACCTCCAAAGTCAAGCACGAACGCATCGGATCGGGGATGGTTTTTCCCCTACCATCCTGTGGTGTTTGGTCCTCGTTTTGAAGAAAGCGCCCCGCGTCTCCTCCTTTTTCCTCTCCCTCCTCCTCCCCCTCCTCCCATCCCTTGCCTCTGCCTTCCGCATGTCCTCATGATCGTCATCATGATCGTCATCATCATTATCATCATCATCATCATCATCATCATCATCATCATCATCATCATCATCATCATCATCATCATCGTCATCATCATCATCGTCATCGTCATCGTCATCGTCATCGTCATCGTCATCGCCGTCATCATCACCATCATCGTCACACCCAGTACAGCGCTTCGTGGCCCCATAAGAAGCTCCACTGAAGGTCCCAGTGGCGCAGTTCGCATGCGTCTCCCCCACCCAGTACAGCGCTTCGTGGCCCCCATAGGGAGCTCCACTGAAGGTCCCAGTGGCGCAGTTCGCATGCGTCTCCCCCACCCAGTACAGCGCTTCATGGCCCCCACAGGGAGCTCCACCGAAGGTCCCAGTGGCGCAGTTCGCATGCGTTTCCTCCACCCAGTACAGCGTTTCGTGGCCCCCATAGGGAGCTCCACCGAAGGTCCCAGTGGCGCAGTTCGCATGCGTCTCCTCCATTCAGTACAGCGCTTCGTGGCCCCATAGGGAGCGCCACCGAAGAAGATATTTACAAATACGGTCCTCACATCTGCATATGGTTGGGTCCTTCGCCCGGATAATTTTCCCAACCGTCCTGTGGTGTTGGGTCCTCGTTTTGAACAGACACAGCGCCCTGCGTTCCTCCCTCCTCCTCGCCCCCTCCCTCCTCACTCCTCCCGTCAACCGCCCGCGTGCGTCAACCACCACCCGTCACAGCCCTGCCTCCCTGCGCTACACCCACCCAGTACAACGCTTCGCGGCCCCATACGGAGCTCCCCCGAAAGTCCCAGTGCCACCACCCGCATGCGCCAACCTCCACCCAGCATTGCCCTTCCTCCGTGCGCTTCACCCACCCAGTACCGCTTCGTGGCCCCATAGGAGCTCCACCGAAGTTCCCAGTGCCACCGCCCGCATGCGTCAACCACGACCCAGCCCAGCCCCTCCTCCTTGCGTTTCACCCACCCAGTACAGCGCTTCGTGGCCCCATAGGGAGCTCCACCGAAGCTCCCAGTGCCACCGCCCGCATGCATCAACCATCACCCAACACAGCCCTTCCTCCTTGCGTTTCACCTACCCAGTACAGCGCTTCGTGGTACCACAGGGAGCTCTACCGAAGGTCCCAGTGGGACCGCCCCCTTGCGTCAATCACCACCCAACACGGCCCTTCCTCCTTGCGCTTCACCGATCCAGTACAGTGTTTCGTGGCCCCATAGGAGCTCCACCGAAGTTCCCAGTGCCACCGCCCGCATGCGTCAACCACCACCTAGCACAACATGTCCTCCCTGCGCTTCACCCACCCAGTGCGCTTCGTGGCCCCATAGCGAGCTCCACTGAAGGTCCCAGTGCCGCCGCCCGCATGCGTCAACCACCACCCAATACAGCCCTTGTCCTCCTTGCGTTTCACCCACACAGCACATTGTTTCGTGGCCCCATAGGGAGCTCCACCGACCGTCCCATTGCTTCCGCCCGCATGCGTCAACCATCATCCAGCAAAGCCCTTCCTTCCTCCTTGCGTTTCACCTGCCCAGTACAGCGCTTCGTGGCCCGTTAGGGAGCTCCACGGAAGGTCACAGTGGGACCGCCCCCATGCGTCAACCATCACCCAGCACAGCGCGTGTTGGCCCCATAAGGGGCGTCCACCGAAGGCCCCAGTGGCACCGCCCGCATGCGTCAGCCACCACCCAGTACAGCGTTTCGTGGCTCCACCAAAGGCGCCACTGCCGTTGCGTCACCCACACCAATTTCGTCACACCCCTCACACTTTTCGTGGCTCCATAAAGGGGGTTCTGCCGAAAGCCCTGGTGCCACCGCCCGCATGCGTCACGCACACCTATTTCGGCACACCCCTCACACCTTTTCGTGGCCCTTCACGGAACTCCACCGAAGGTCCCAGTTCCCTCCGCCCGCATGCGTCACCCACACCCATGTCGGCACATCCTAACACGCTTAGTGGTCCCATAGGGAGTTCCACCGAAAGCCAGAGAGCCACCGCCCGCATGTGTCACCCACACCATTTCCGTCACACCTCGCACACCTTTCGTGGCCCCATAAGGGGCCTCCACCGAAGGCCCCGGTGCCACCGCCCGCATGCGTCACACACACACACACCCATTTCGGCACATCCCTCACACCTTTCGTGGCCCCATGGGGAGCTCCAGCGAAGGCCCCGGTGCCAACGCCCGCATGCGTCACCCGCGCCCATCCCGGTACACCCCTCACGCGCTTCGTTGCCCCATGGGGAGCCCCACCGAAGTCTCCAATGCAACCGCCCGCATGCGTCACCCATACCCATGTCGTCACACCGCTCACACGTTTCGTGGTCCCATAAGGAGCTCCAACGAAAGCCCTTGTGCCACCGCCCGTATGCGTCACCCACGTTCATTCTGACACACCGCTCACGCGCTTCGTGGCCCCATGGGGAGCTCCACCGAAAGCGCCAGTGGCTGCGTTCGCATGCGCCCACCGCACCCATGTCGGCACACCAATAACACGCTTCGCAGCCCCATTGGGAATTCCACCGACGGCCCCAATGGCTGCGTTCGCATGCGCCCACCGCACCTATTTCGGCACACCTCTCATGCACTTCGTGGCCCCATAGAGAATTCCACCGACGGCCCAAGTGGATGTTTTCGCATGCGCCCGCCGGACAAATTTTGGCACACCCCTCACACGTTTCGTGGCCCTATAGGAAGCTCCTCCGAATGCGGTGCGTACAACGACGGCGCTCACAACTGCATATGGTTGGGGCCTATCGCCAGGCTAGTTCTCTTGCGGTTGCTGAAGGGTGGCCTGGCCCAGCAGCAGGGGCCCAGCAGAGTTAGAGCAGGACAGAGCCGTCCTCACACGCATCCTCCCCTTGCGCCTCCCCCCTTGCTCGGGTGCTCCCATTCCTGCCCCCCCCCCCGCGCGGACGGCCCGAGGCACACCGAGGACGACCTTCCCGACTCGGACGCCATCTTCAGGACGAGCGACAAGATCAACCTCATCCACCACATCATCACGTCCAACGACAAGGCGGGGCTCGTGGGGGAACGGCCGGGGGGGTCTCGGGGGAGGCGGAGTGGGGGGGGGAGCTGGAGGAGGAGGAGGAGGAGGAGGAGGAGAAGGAGGAGGATGAGGAGGAGGAAGAACAGAACTGGATGGAGGACGGCGGAGAGGATGAGGGGGAGGAGGTCTCCCCGCCCACCCGGTCGCAGCTGCTCCACCTCGGAGCCTCCCCGCGGCGCGGAGCGTGTTCGCCCCTCGGCGCCCCCCCCCCCCATTGGGAGTGCGGAAACCGGCGCCTCGCCTCCAACTCCTCCTCCTCCTCCTCCTCCTCCTCCTCCTCCTCATCATCATCATCATCATCATCATCATCATCATCATCAACAATCCGGGTCAGTGGCTTCGAATCTGCATGAGTCTGAGTGGGGAGGTGGTGCGCCTGAGTCGAAGTGAGCCTGACCGAGTCTGAGTCTGAGTGGGGGAGCGACGCGGCTGAGCCTCCGCGAGGAGGCGCGAATCTGTGCTGGGCCCCGTGAAGAAGAGTGGGTCTGTGATTGACCCCGTGGTGGGCGTGAGTGATCTGAGTATGGATATCTGATTGACGTGATAGCGAAAAAGAGAAAAAGGAGGAAAAGGAGGAGGAAGGTCTGGAGGCGTCTAAGCCATAATAGAAACGCCATCTTAGGATATGGGGACTAACAGTTTTCGCCGATCGCTGGGCGCAAGTAAACAAACAAAGAGGGGGGTGCGCGAGGGGGGCGGCCTTCTAGGAAAGGAGGGGGCTCCGTAGAAGCTCCCAAGAAGGCTCGTGGGAGCCTCCAAGCCCTCCTGAGAAGCCCCCCCCTTGCCCCCCCCTCGCCCCAACTCCTTGTCTGGCAGGACGTCAAAGCTATCTCAGACGCCAGACTCCCACGGAGTCTGGCGAGTGGGTCACCGCACCCCTGCGTGCCTCGGTCGGGGACGAGAAGGGAGGAGCCAGGATATCGGGAAGGGGGGAGGAGGCAGGAGGAGGATCAGAAGCAGCAGCACGAGAACGAGCGAATAGGAGGGAGCCGGAGGAGGGAGGGGAGAGAGCATTGGGAGAACAGGACATGGAGGAAGCAAGAGGATGCGGAGAACGACGGGAAGAGGGACAGAGTTGTTGGACGTCTTCGCGTGATGGCAGGAGCTTTGGCTGTGGGTCCCCACGTGTTTCTCGAAGCTGCGCGCTCACCCTCTGGAGTAGGACAAGGAGGAGGAGGAGGAGGAGGAGGAGGAGGAGCAGGAGGAGGAGGAGGAGGAAGAGGAGGAGGACGAGGGGGAGGCGGGAGAGGGCGAGGGGGTAGAGGGGGAGAAGGAAGAGGAGGAGGGAGGAAGAGAGGTAGAGAGGGGAGAGGTGCAAGAGAGGCACAACGGGAGGAGGGGATGGAAGAGCGGTAGGCGGGGGGGGGCATCAGAAAGATTGAGCTCGCGCGTTCTTGAGGGATGGTGTTGAGGAGCAGAATGACCATGATCAAGCATGATGCATCCACGGTGTTGCCATGCAGCCTCCCGTCTTCAAGTATTCATCTCCATTGCTGGAGTGGCGAGCGCCCCGTGAGTCTGCCATTCAGGCGAGGCCCGTTCAGTAAAGGATCCGCCCTCCATCCTTCCAGGTAAATGGAGCGCAAAGCGACAAGATGAGACCGTCCACAGAAGAGCCCAGCGATGGCTCAGTTTTTGAAGGATCGGCCATAAACCCATGCATGTGATGCATGTGCATGTGTGTACGCTTGCATGCATGCATGTCTGTGCGTATGTACGTATGTGTGTGTATGTATGCATGTTTGTACGCATGTAAGTATGTATGGTTTCAGGTATGTGTGTATGTATGTGTGCGTGTGTATACATGTGTGTAGGTATGTATGTGGATGCGTGTACGGATGTATGTATGCATGCATGTATGTACGTATGTATGAATGGATGTGTATATGCATATATGTATGTACGTGCATGTATGTATGTAGGCAGGCATGCATGTAGGTGTATATGTATGTGTGTAAATAAGTATGTATGCATGTGTACATGCATACATGTATGTATGTATATATATATGATCGTATGTTTGTATGTGTATATATGTATGTGTGGATGCTGGATGTATGTATGCGTGTATGTGTGTATGTACTGTATATGGTTTTTATACAGATATGTGTACATGCATGTAAGTGTGTATGTATGTAGTTGTGTATGTATGTGTACATGCAGGTATGTACGCATGCAAACAGATCGATACATCGATCCCAACCATCACATGTGTGTAAGTTTCGATCCAGCACCCCTTGCTGCAAAGGGGGCGCCCTCCATTCGTGGAGTTGTCGCGCATGCTAGCATGTCGTATCGTTGCTTGCCAGGACGTCTCAAGCGATGCCTCGCCCCGTTTTGAAAACCCTCCATCCGCATGCTTCCCAGAAGCTTCAAGACGAATAAGCGCTGTGCATCAGCTGCAGCTTGACAACCACGGGCACTCTCTCTATGTATATGTATCCCGTGTCGCTGTTGCACGGGATGTGAACCGCAGTCGCATGTTGAATACCAACGTTCCCCCGTCCGTGTATGAGTTTGAGCTCTCATCAGCTTCAGGACAGTAAATGGTAGTGACGTTCCATCGACAGCATGCCTGTAAAGGTCCTGTGCTTTGCATGGGACGTGAACGGCAAAGCGGCAAAGGTGATAGTCGCATGTTGTGAACCAACGTTCCTCCATTTAGGTTCAGGACAAGTAGTATCATTGCAGTGCTATCAACGGCATGTCTGTGAAGGTCCAATTCCAACTTCCCCCATCTGTGTATGAGTTGGAGCTTCCACCAGCTTCAGGACAGGAAGTAGCATTGCAATTCCCTCGAGAGCATGTCTTGTAACGGTCCTGCGTATTCCACGTTTCACGGCACCTGTGACCTCCTCCGGATCCAGCATCCGTGGCCCGTTGGTCCCCCCCCGGTATGGTCCACCACGTGACCTCCCGTACTCTCTCTCGCATGTGCCCCATTGGCTCCCGCGTGGTCTCGAGTACGTTCACCCGTGTCGTCTCCTGCATGGTCTCACCAGCCTCGAACTTATCCCTATCCCTAAGATTGACACGCCAAAAGGCGATGACAATCTTAGGGATTCGCCCTGAAAAACTAAGAAAATCCCTAAGATTGGCATCGTGATGAGGAGATGCCCAGCGTAGGGATAGGGATATGTTCCAGGCTGGTAATGGTCTCCCGCATGGTCTCCCGTATGGTCGGGGCCCTGAAGAAAGAGCCCTTTTCGTGGGGGAGGGGCTCGGTGTTCCTCGACGGTTCTGCAGGTTGCCCTCTGTTTCCCTGCGGTTTCCCATGGGAAATCGAAGTTCAACTTATGGGAGAAAGGGGCCCCGTTCCTTACTTAGGGTTCCTTAGGTCAACGCCCCGACTGTATGGTCTCCTGCATGGTTTCCAGCAGAGCTGTCCCCCTCGTATCCCGAGCGGTTTGCCCCGGAGCCCGCCGTGTGGTCTCCAGTGCGATGTCCCGTGTGCTCTCTGGTCTCCCGTGGGGTCTCCCGTATGGTTTTTACCGCGTGTTCTCTCGCGCGGCTCCCTCCACGTCTTCCCATCCGAGACCCGAATAGAGGAGGAGGAGGAGGAGGAGGAGGAGGAGGAGGAGGAGGAGAGGAGGAGGAGGAGGAGAGGAGGAGGAGGAGGAGGGAGGCGGAGGAGGAGGAGGAGGGAGGGGAGGAGGAGAGAGGAGGAGGAGGAGGAGGAGGAGGAGGAGGAGGAGGAGGAGGAGGAGGAGGAAGGAGGAGGAGGAGGAGGAGGAGGAGGCGGAGGAGGAGGAGGAGGAGGAGGAGGAGGAGGAGGAGGAGGAGGAGGAGGGAAGGAGGAGGAGAGGAGGAGGAGGAAGGAGGAGGAGGAGGAGGGGAGGAGAGGAGGAGGAGGAGGAGGAGGAGGAGGAGGAGAGGAGGAGAGTGAGGAGGAGGAGGAGGAGGAGGAGGAGGAGAGGAGGAGGAGGAGGAGGAGGAGTAGTGAGGGGGGGGAGGAGCAGGAGAGGAGGGAGGAGAAGGAGGAGGAGGAGGAGGAGGAGGAGGAGGAGGAGAGGAGGAGGAAGGAGGAGGAGGAGGTAGGAGGGAGGAGGGAGGAGAGGAGGAGAGAGGAGAGGAGGAGGAAGGAGAGGAGGAGAGGAGGAGGAGGAGCAGGAGGGGAGGAGAGGAGGGCGGGAGGAGGAGGAGGAGGAGAGAGCAGGGGCAGAGCAGAGGGAGGAGGAGGAGCGGGAGGAGGAGGAGGAGGAGGAGGAGGAGGAGGAGGAGGAGAGGAAGGAGGAGGAGCAGAGGGAAGGAGGAGAAGCAGGAAAGGGGAGGAGGAGGAGGAGAGAGGAGGAGGAGGGAGGAGGAGGAGGAGGAGGAGGAGGGGCTGTACGGTAGGGTGCTATCTCTGCTGTTCGTGTCTCCCGTCCCCGACCTTCTGCCGCCGGGGGTGCACTCTCAAGGGCCACGCCCGGCCCAGCCTCTGCGCACACGTCCGGTGGTGCGACAGGGGGGGGTATGACAAGGCAGAGGGGCAGAGGGAGGAGGAGGACGCGGAGCAGGAGGAGCTGTCCAGGCGCTCCCCCCCTCCACGATAAGAGGTGCTGGTTCACCTCGCTCTCTTCCACCGCTATCACATCGTTTTTATTCACCTTTTCCCTAATGAGCCCCCCCTCCCACCAAGGTCCTTGCCCGGTGGGAGGGGCAGGAAAGGTTTTCATGGCTGCAGGAGCTACCTTCGACCGCCATGACTGAGCGTGAGCAGGAGGAGCAGGAGTACGGTCGGGGCGATGGTTCAGGAGGGGGTCGTCTTGCTGTCCAGCCCGCTGCTCAAAGTCTGGTCGGGGAGCCTGTGGTTGGCCGAGGCTCGCAGGGGCGAAGAATCCCCCTTCGTGTCGTATTCCTCGCTACGCATGGTCGCCCGATGAGTGAAGGAGCAGCAGGACGAGCACCACGACAACGAGGAGAAGGACCGTGAAAAGAAGTGTGGCAGAACCTCTTCGCCCCCCGACGCCGACGACGAAGACGACGACGCCGCGACGACGACGAGGACGAAGGCGGCGGCAGCGTCGACGACGAGGCCGCGGGCCGCGGCGCCGCGCTTCCTGGACCCCCCCTCCAGAGGACTGCTGTGGCATCCCCGTGGGCCAGCTGCTCTCCAGCCAGGACCACGCCGCTCCTCCCATCGCCCCCCTCCCTCCTTCTCCTCATCTTCGGGCCGGCCTCGCCTCCTCCGTCTCCTCCTCCTCCTCCTCCTCCTCCGCCTCCTCCTCCCCTCCTCCTCCTCCGCGTCCTCCTCCTCCTCCTCCTCCTTCTCCTCCTCCTCCTCCTCATCCACCCTGCTGCACCTCCTCCTTCCAGGCCTTCCTCCATCCTCAACTCTTCTACCTCCTCCTCCTCCTCCTCCTCCTCCTCCTCCTCCTCCTCCTCCTCCTGACTCCTCTCTCCTCCCTCCTCCTCCCTCCTCCTCCTCTCCATCCCTCCTCCCTCCTCCGCGGGCCTCCGCCGCCTTCCTCCTCCGTTCCCTTCCCGAGAGACACACATCGCAGACACAAGCACCGCGACGAAGAACATGCGCACTTGCTGCGCGCAGAAGGCACACATATAGCAAGCACAAACCGCGCGTGCAGGAAACAGGGCATGAGCACACACACACAAACACACACGCACGTGACGTTGATACGGCCAGGTTGCATACGAAACGCGAAGCGGTATAGACCCATATCGACACACACACACACACACACACACCACACACACACACACACACGAGCGATGGACAGAAGGCTCCTGAGAAGCCGAAGGGGGCTTCCAAGCAGCCCTCCTGCCTTCTCAGAGGCCCCCCCCAGCCTTCTCGCAAGGTCCCCCCTCTCGCGCCACTGCCTCGGTATGAGCGCCGCCCCCCTCCCGCCCGCCGCCAGGACCTGCTCGCCTACTTCCCCCTGCACGACGCCCCGGTGCCCGCTGCAGCCCCCTCCCGCCGCCGCCCTCGGACGCGCGCCGGTGCCCGCTGCAGCCGCCTCTCTCGCCGCCGCCCTCGGCCGCGCGCCCGGCGCGCGCGCGCGTCGCCGAGCGCCGGCAGGCCTCGTTTCTGCCCCGGCTCTCGAGCCCACGGCGTGGGTCCCCGGAGGAGGAGGAGGAGGAGGAGGAGGAGGAGGAGGAGGAGGAGGAGGAGGAGGAGGAGGAGGACCCCCGGGCTCGGGCTCGGGGGCTGGAGCCGCCAGGGGGGGCCCGAGGTGGACCAGCACAGGTCCCTACCGGCAGGAAGGGGAGGGGGGGGGGGGGGCGAGGTCTGAGGCTCTGGGCTCGGGCAGGGGTCTTGTGCCTTTTTGTCTGCCCGAGGCGGGCCGAGAGCGTCCAGCAAGGATGCCTCGATCTTGGACGGTCGCCCCTCCGTGTGCCGTCGACGTCGAGTTCTATTGTTTCTCCTCGCGCGCGCAGCACTTGAGGTCCGTCCTTAGATGATCTTCAACGCTGGGTTCTTTATATATATATATATATATATATAAAGACAAAACACGTTTTCAGGATCGAAGTTTTCGTCCCGTGTTGGGCACCGTTTTGGTTGCGTTGTCAGGTCGGGGATCGGCCCGTGGCCCACTCGCTCGTCTTCTGTCCGTTTTCGTGACGTGCTCATCAGGCTTTCTGGCATCACAGTGCCGACTTGCTGACGTCCACATTCGGGGTGACGTTTTTATAACACGTTTGGGTCGAGCCACAAGCGCAAAGTGGAAAACGAAATTAAACAAGAGAAAGCAAACGCCCCCAGCGTTTGTAAGAACAACGCTACGGCGGGCTGCGCGGTAGAGACCTGCGCCCACTCGGGTGGCTCAGCACGCAGGGGCGGCCGCGAGAGAGGGGGAGAGGTGGCTCTGGCGCCCCCTGGCCCTGGCCCAGACCCCCTCGCCCTGGCCCTTTTCTTTTCGTGGTTCGCGGTTTGTCGTCGTCCCCCTGGCTGTGGCCCGCTTCCCCTCGCCCCCGTCCCCCTCGCCCCCTCGCCCTGTACCGGACCTCTGGCCTCTGGTCAGAGCCCCTGGCTCAACTCAGCTTGTTTCCTGGTCTTGGCCCCACTGGCCCCGACCCTGGCCTTCGCCCCAGCCCTCCTCGCCCCGGACTGTGTATTTTCGTGGTTCGATCCCAGACCTCTGGCCCCTGGTCCGAGCTTCAGTCCCCCTGCCCTGGCCCTGGACCCCCACTTGCCCCGACCCTGGCCTTGGCCCAACCCTCCTCGCCCCGGACCCTTTACTTTACTGGTTCCGTCCCCCTGGCTCTGGCCCCCCATCCCCTGGTCCTGTCGCCCCCCCCTCGCCCCTCCTCCTCTTTGTCTCCTCAAATGTGCAAGAGCCAGGGCACGCGTGCCACTTGTTTATTGCCGATCGGCGCGGGCCCTCGTATTGGCGCCTGTTTCGAGCAGGTGGAGTCCCCCCTCATAGGACACACTGTCGCAAACAGTCGCACTAAGCAGAGTCCAGAGCCAGACCCCCTTCCCCCCCCTTTCCGCCCACTGTCGAGACGCCGCATAAGAAAACGCTCACCAAGGCCCTCGCATCCTTCTCATACGGGCTGGCTGCAAGCAAGATTCAGTTGGAGAAAAGAGCACACAGACACAATGAATCGTCGACTCCCCCAGAAAATATAGGATATGGGAAGTGTAGGGGGGAGACGAAAACCCAGAAAGTTTGAGAACATATAGGGGAATCCCAGGATTTGTGTGTATATATATACACAGGACTGCAGTGGCGTTGCGCGCCATGCACCTTGGTCCTTGACGTCTGGTATGCAAGCGGAATGCATAGCGGTAGCTCTTGGTTGCCTTTTTCCGGCATCGCCGCTGTAGTGATGTTCTTCGTTATCTTTCCTCCATGCTTATTGTTCCTTATTTTCGCCATACCCTGCGCATTCTCCCCATCCTCCTCAGCTCTTTTTTGCGGAGGCTCCTCCTTGGAGAGCCTCTAGGGGCCTCACAAAAGTTGTTTCGGGTTTTCTTAAGGCCGTCTAGAGGCCTCCTGGGCGTATTCTGGGGGCTTCCGGGGGCTTCCTCGGGCCACCTTGCCTCCAACCGCCGTCTCCCTGAACGACCGAATCACGATTTGGAATTCTTCGAGGGTGTCTTTGGATCATCTTGGGCCGCCATGGGGCTCTCTGAGGGCTATCTTGGACCCGTGTTGTGCCGTTTTGGGGCTCTCTAGGACTGCCTGGAAGCCCTTTCAGATTGTTGTGGGGCGATTTGGGAGCCTCCCAGGCGGCTTCGGACGAAGACCGCCGTCTTGGAGCGTCGGGAAGCCGAAAAGAGGAGAGAACCCCCAAATCCACCAAAAACCAATAGAAAATCAATGATTTTTGCCTCGGGGGGGCTTCTTGGGAGTGCTCTTGGAGGCCTCTTTGGGGCCGTCCTGGAGGCCTCTTGGGCCATCTTGAGGTCACGTCGGTCACTCTTTGGGGCCGTCCTGGAGCGCTCTTGTGCTGTCTTGGGGGTCTCTGGGACGTCTCCGATGACCCCCCTGATCGCCCTAAGTGTGCTGGGAAGGCGTGGCAAAACGCCTTGCGAGGCCCGGTGGCCGCTTCGAGGCCCGTCCGGAGGGCCCCAAAGCCCCAGGTCCCGGAAGTCTGTTTTTTTTTGGGGGGGGGCGGGGGTGACGGGTTTTCCCCCCGCCCGGGCTTATAAAAAGACAGGAAGAGGAATACATATACATATATATTCTCATACGCACCTCTCCGAGGGAGTAGAGCTCAGAGGCGATTAATGCGCACGTCGTCCGCGATGTTTCTGGCCGTTTCGCTCGGGACATCCTCGAAATTCTGAAAATCGGTGGCACCCCTCACGCAGATCGTGACGTCAGGGTCCAAAAACACATGGGAATTTCAACATTTTAACATAAAACCTTCAAAAACACATGGTAATTTCAATAATTTTGACCCCGATTCTCAGAGAATGGCGGTTTCGCCTGAGACATCCTCCCAAAATCGAGCCCCAGACCCCTCCTCGGAGCCTCCTGGGGGCCTCCTGGAACCTCCTGGGGCCTCCTGGGGCTTTCTGGACCTTCTGGTACCCCAGACCCCGCCTCGGAGCCTCCTGGAGTTCTCCTGGGCCTGCTGAGGCCGCCTGGGGCCTCCTGGGGCCTCCTGGGGCTTCAGAACTACATGCACACACAGAGACACAAATCACGCCCAACACATCACACGCTAGACAAACATAACATACACACACACACACGACAACACACAAAAAGCACGCACCACACAAAGCACACATCACACACACAACACTCACAATCCTGGGGCCTCCTGGAGCCTCTTCTGGTATCCAAGTCGGGCCTCCTGAGGCTTCCTGGGGGGGCCTGGTACACACATCGCAAGGTGTGGCAACCCCACTTGCGCTCGAGTGCGACTTCGCTGTTGCATGTCACTCCTGCTTCAAACGCCCCTTCAGCTTGTTATATGAGCCTGGGCACACACGTGCCACTTGTGTATATATATATATATATATATATACATGTACATGTGTGCGTTTGTGTGTGTGACTGTGTGTGTTGTGTGTTGTGTGTGTGTGTTGTGTGTGTGTGTGTTGTGTGTGTTGCGTCTGTGTGTGTTGTGTGTTGTGTGTGTTGTGTGTTGTGTGTGTTGTGTGTGTGTGTTGTGTGCGTGCGTGCGTGCGTGCGTGCGTGCGTGCGTGCGTGTGTGTTGTGGTGTGCGTATGTTGTGTGTGTGTGTGTGCTGTGTGTGCGTGTGTTGTGTGTGTGTTCTGTGTGTGCGTGTGTTCTGTGTGTGTGCGTGTGCGTGTGCGCGTGCGTGTGTGTGTGCGTGTGTTGTGTGTGTGTGTGTTTGTGTGTGTTTTTTGTGTGTGTGTGCGTGTGTGTGTGTGTGTGTGTGCGTGTGTGTGTGTGTGTTTGTGTGTGTTTTTGTGTGTGTGTGTGTTTGTGTGTGTTTTTGTGCGTGTGCGTGTGTTTGCGTGTGCGTGTGCGCGTGCGTGTGTGTGCGTGTGTTGTGTGTGTGTGTGGTTGTGTGTGTGTGCATGTTTTTTTTTGTGTGTGTGTGTGTGTTTGTGTGTGTACGCGCGTTCTTTTGTGTGTTGTGTGTGTGTGCCCTGGGGCCCCTTGCAGAGACGCCCAGCTCTGCGTCTCGGTCCGAGGCTGCTCCCGCCCTGCCTCCGCCCGCCGAGCGGGGGCGCCGGGGGGGCCTGCGGCGGACCCCGGGTGCACGCCTCCCTGTGGGCGGCGGCCGCAGGGCCCCGCCGTCGGGAGAGCGACCGCCGCTGCGCCGACTTGCGCGCGGTGGCC